TCAGCAGCAATTAACTCACAGACAGATTATTTCACCGTAGAGAAGCAAAAGACCGTTTTTGAGCCGCATACTTGTGAACAGCACTGTGAAGTTAACAGTGTCTCCACTCCTGGACTATGCTGCTCCCCAACCTGTACATCTAGAAACGGTCTGTGTGAATGCTCCTGTGTCCATAATGGATCCCTTTGTGCCCGGTATTACAGACTCTGACTCTGCTAAACCTGGATCTTCCTGTGCAATGACTGTTTTAGGGACTACTACACCTAACATGGACACCTTAAGGCCTACAGAGTTACTAGGGGTGGTCCGCCATGAATCTCTGTTCGCTAACACTGTTTCTAGTTCCACTAACTCCGTTTTCCCTGTGTCTGTTTCTGCTCCTGAGCTCAGCTCTCCCGCTTCAGTTTCTGTAACCAAGGCAGCGTGGGCCCAGCCTCCCCTAGCTCCCGTATCAGTTCTTCGGGAGAGGGTAGCTGAGGTCCAGCTGGTCCCTGCTTCTGTTCCCAGACTGGCAGAGGCTCCTATCATCCCAGCACCTGTACCTGCTCCTCGGGTGGGGTTGATGGACACCCAGACTTTGCCTGCTCCTGTTCCGGTTCCCCGGGTGAGGTCAGCTGCGACCCTGCCGCCTCCTGCACCCGTTTCAGTTCCTCGGGTGGGAGCAACAGAGGTCCAGCTTGCTCCTGCACCTACACCGGCCCCCAGGGTAAAGGCAGCCAAAGCCCAGCTCGTCCCTGCACCCGTATCTGTTCCTCGGGTGGGGATGGCTGGTGTTCGGCCAGGCCTAGCACCTGTTCCTGTTCCCAGAAGGAGAGCAACCCAGAGTCAGACACCTGTTCAACCACAAGCGCAACTACCACTTCAACTAGCATTACTATCCATAACACAGTCTGTAGCTCAGTTGTTAACACAGATTCTTGTTTTGTCACCAGTCCAGACTTTAGCACAGTTAGCAGCTCCGTCTCCTGTTCAGTCATCGGTTCTACTACCTGCTGTCCCGCCATCACTGCAACGTGCACCCCTGTCTTTAGCGCAGTCAGTAGCTCAGGTCATAGCACAGGTTCCTGTTTTGTTACCAGCTCAGTCTCTAGCGCAGCCATTAGCTCCTCAGTCTGCTCAGTCATCCGCTCCGTTACCGCTCCAGTCCTTTGCTTCATTGCCTGTTCGTTTGTCAGCTCAGTTATTGACTCTGTCACCAGCTCAGTGCTTAGCCCAGCAACCCGTTCAGTCACTGTCCACCTCAGCTGGAAGCCTTTGTGAGCCTTCTTTGCCAGCTGAGGATTACGCGGTGCTGACACACTTTGAACTGACTGTTTGCCCTGCACAGCCCCAGCCATTGCATCCTAAGCCGACTGCGTGCCCTGTGCCGCCACAGTCAGCGCCCGCGGTGCCAAAGGTCCCCGCACCCGCTGGCTCTGCATCCGTTTCCGCTGGAGGGTCCGAGGGGCCCGTTCAGCCTCCTGTCTCCGCTGGAGGGTCCGAGGGGCCCGTTCAGCTGCCACCTGCGCCCGCCTCGCCCGGCCCCGTCTTCGCCTGGTCCGGCCTCTGCAGCTCTGCCTGGTCCGGCCCCGTCTTCGCCTGGTCCGGCCTCTGCAGCTCTGCCTGGTCCGGCCCTGTCTTTGCCTGGTCCGGCTTCATCAGAATCTGCATCCTCGCCTGGTCCGGCCTCCGCCTCAGCTTCGCCCGGTCCGGCTCTAGCATCTGCTTCAGCCTTGTCTTTGCCTGGTCCGCCCCCGCTTCGCCTGGTCCGGCCCCCGCTTCGCCTGGTCCGGCCCCCGCTTCGCCTGGTCCGGCCCCCGCTTCGCCTGGTCCGGCCCCCGCTTCGCCTGGTCCGGCCCCCGCTTCGCCTGTGGCTGCCACGCCACCGTCTGGTCCTGCCTCGTCCGGTCCTGTGCCCACCGGGCCTCGGCCACCACGCCTGACGCCGGAGTGCCGCCGTTGCCTTCCGCACGGTCGGCCTCCTGAACTGCTCTATCATCTCCTTGGCCGCCGCCTTCTTCTACGCGGCCGGCCTCCGGACCAGCTCTGTCACCTGTGCCACCCGTCTGGTCGGCCCCCCGACCGTGTGACCCGTGAACTTTTGTGCCTGTGGGCCCTGGGTCGGCCTCCTGACATTTATTATGGACTAGTGTCTTGTGCTCCTGTGTTTTCTGTTGGTGGTTTTGTTTCCTGTTCTGGTCCCTCCGTCCTGGTCCCCCGCCTCCCGCCCTGGGTGGGTTGTTTTCTGTTTTTCTTGTTTTTGTTCGCGGGTTGGGGCTGTCGGGTGCCAGCCCTTGCGGGGGGGGGGGGGTCATGGGCCATGTTGGCCCAGTATTTTTAATTCTCATGTATCTTTGTATTCAGTTCCCTGTTTAGGCTCTGTTTCCTGAGTTGCCCTGTTGTGTTGTTTCCTGAGTGCTTTCCCTTTATGACTCTCACCCCCTGTGTGCCCCTCTGTGTATTCATGAGCCCTCGTCCCCTTTCGTGTTTATTCCGTGTCTCCCCTGCCCGTTATGTTGGTGTTCTACTCGTGCTCTCTCTCCTCCTGTCTGAACCTCTGTACTTCCTGTTTCGCTTCGCCCGTCTCCCCGCCAGTGTTGTGTTCACTCCTGCCATGTCTCATGATTATTATCAGTGTCACCTGTGCTCCCACTCCGCTCGTTAACCCTTGGTGTATTTATGTCTGCGTCTCCCTCAGTGCTGTGTCGCGTTCTCCCTCATGTTGTGTGGATCTTCCTGTGTCTACCTGCGAGTGTTAGTTTACTTTTCCCAGTTTAGTTTTGTATTTCCTGTGTTCTGCCGTGCCAGCATTAAAGCTGTGTTTCTCGAGTTCATGTGAGTTTTGCATTTGGGTCCTCCTCCTGCTTGCCACACAGCGATCCATGACATATTCGAACTTGTGGACAGAAGCCATTTTAGTTTCCTGTTTGCACATCATTAATTTTGTTTAAATACTACTTGCACTTAAATTTGTATTACTTAATATTTTCATTTATTTCATTTTTATTCTGACGGTCTTATGTTAAAAATAAATCAGATTTTTTTCAAATTCAAATGTTTTCTGGGTCATGAGATAACAGGGTGAAATTCATGGGTGGGCAGACTTGAGCAGGTGAGGCACTAAAGCCAGAACATGAGGTCTGCCCACAGGAAGCGGACATAAGAGTTGCTGAAATAATAGTTGACTAATCGACTAATAGAAGAAAAATTAGGCAGATTAGTCGACTATCAAAATAATTGTTAGTTGCAGCCCTAATCATCTGACTGCTCTAAGTATGACTCCAGTTCTGAGGAAAACCCTCTCTGCCTCGCTCACCTATCATCATTATTCTGCGATCAAATAAAACCTGATTTCCACTTCAAGGGACAGAAGATAATAAATAAGTAAATGAAAAATGTGAAACAAAATAATGACACATGTTTCTTTGAAAAACAGAACCAAAATTATCTAAAAAATAAAAATAAAAATTCCTCATGGGTGTTAGATTGCCTTTGTCCGTCCCAAGTGAGCCCCCAGTCAAGTTTCTAAAAAGGTCCTCTCCACCGGGGTCGGCCCTCCAAAGCACTCTCTCTGCCTTACAGCCGGTCCCTATGGCTCATCTGTCTTACCAGGCAGACCCTTAGAACTACCCCTTTGTTTTCCGTACTCTTGGGTTCCTTATTGTTTTTCTTTGGTCCTCTACCTCTTCTGTTTTGGTCCAGAGTGACCAGAGAGACCTTTAAATGTCAACAACGCTCTGAGGTAACCTGAAGCCAGCTAATTTCCATCCTCTCACCACATGGAAACAAGACAGTAGCTCCGGTTACTTACAACCTATTTGTATATTCCTCCTCTCCAAGAAGATATTATTTGGAGTGGTATAGTTATGGTCTTTCAAAGATAAGCATGGCCTCCCTTTAGCTTTAAAGACATAATCTGAACAGTGTCTTTTATATACAGAAGATATTAGGAGCATCTAGAAAGTTTTTCTATTTGATGACACACTAAATACATTTTTAAGGATATGATGTAACATCTGAACAAAAATCTGACTCAATCAGATACCCTGTAAAATGTGATTGTTGTGTGTGTGTGTGTGTGTGTGTGTGCAAGATCAGAACTGCTTGTTCAACTTCTTACTATCGCTGTGGAAAGATTCAGATACAAGTATCAGAACACGTTTCATGAAGAACAATCAGTTCTAAGCAAGGAAAAGATCATCATGCAGCATTCTATCACAAATAAACTTATATCATTAAAAGCTTATACTGACTAAACAAATACAATTTTCTATTGACATTGTGTGTTTTTGAAGGGATGCCAAATGCTAACATTTTTCTGTAAAGAAAATTTACCTTGCCTATGGGCATAAATAAAGTTACCTTGACCTTGACTTGTGGAAAATAATATGTACCTACAATTTTCCAACCATAACTATAACAAGTCTTCACTACTCATTTCTTTATATTTTGTTTCCTGGAGCCAGATTTTCTTGCAATTTTTAAAGTGGTCTTGAGAAATAGTGTCAAGGCTTTCTGAAGATTTTTTAAACTTTTACTTTAGATATTGGTTTCTTTTTCACTCATTTTCCATCCAGTCTTTTTACCTGACTGTTTTCAGAGGAATGTTCTTTTTGTGGTCATTTGTTAAGCTACTGAACAATGAATATATCATGGAATATCATAGAATCCTATGAAAATTGTCTCTTTCACATGAGTGTAGTTGCTGATGAAAGCATTCACAGCAATATGCTTTCTCTGTACTCATCATAGTGAATCAGTAATGTTTGTACCAAAGCATGTAGTTAAAAATAAAGATAGTCTTCGCTGAAACCTGCTCAGGCAGTCTCAAGATTCAGCTCAAACATTACATTTACTTGGAAAGATGAAGCAGTACTCAGCAACTTTTTTTGGGTAAGTCATATGACTGACAAACACACTGTGAAAACAGCACAGAGTTTGTGAAAACATCAGTCTGGATGGAAAAATTGTTAGTATACACTCAACACCACACCAGGTTGTTGTGTTTGTGTGGCTCTAACCTGCTCGCCAGTTTCCTTCTGCCTATTTGTGCTTTTGCTGCCTCTGTGTGGCTGAGACATGTCAGCGTTCTTTGGGTACCGTCCCCATGATTTGAGCCTGTTGAGGCCCTCCACAGAGCGGGCGGTAGGGTTGATTCGCTGGCCTGGGATGCGAGCAGGTAGATCCCAGGTGCCTTTAAAGTCAGGCCATGCAAGGCCTCTCTGTAGCAACACACACGCAGTGAGGGAGTGAAGTCATATATTCACAGTGAAAAACGTCACTTCCAGTGAAGAGGGGAAAGAAGAAAGATGTGATCTCACCTTCCCCACTCCTGGGAGCAGGTGTCCTCTATCATCAGCGATGAAGGTGGTACGGCCCACCTGTGCACTAGGTCTCTGCAAATACCCACACATAGAGGGAGATAAAATCTTTGTAAAAATCTATTTTTGCACAAATTTGTTTAAATCTAACACGAAATGGAAATGATCAAGAGTTGAAAACTTCCTATACCTCTTTGAAGTGCTTAGTCTCACACCAGTTCTGCAGCCTGTGCGGTTTAAAGGCGCTGTCATACTGTGAATAGAAGTTTTAAAAACGCATAAACAGAGAAGTAAAATGTGTAATGTTTAGAGTTTTTATTGGCGTTGTTATTTAGATTACCTGGTTTGCCGAATAGCTGGAAGACATTGCTGGATCTGTAAGTTACGGTTTCCTAATCTGTTAAATTGTTGACTCGTTGCTTAGCAATATAGACAAACAGACTTCTCCCTACAACAGTTTATTTGAAAAGAGTTACAAACTATGGCCTGAAAAAACCCCTCATATGAATCAGTTTGTACAGTTTATTTATTTTTTGTTTGTGTTTTTTTTGTTGTTGTTCATACATGTTTTATCAGTACTATCTGATTCCGTGTTTGTAATGATTAATTTACAAGTTGTTTTATTGGCCTAAATGTGATCTGTTCCGCATTCAGGGGGCTTTTATTTTGAAAGATCTCAAACGGAAGTTATGAGGTAGAAATTATTTCGTATGTCAAAACACATCATGTGCGGATGCTTGCGTTTAATTATGTTTTTATTTTCCTGCAGACGGGATTGCACAGAGTGTTGCATAAAGCATATTTCTTTCTTACGCACTTAAAAAATATATATATATATATATATATTAACCGGAAGTCCAACTATTTTTCTTCCGGGTATTACTAGCGGCAACTAAGAAGACAAATTGATTAAGATATGTAACTAACAAGCAGATCTTATGTTTGTTTTTCAAAAAGTAGGAATAAATATATCACGTAGAATTTGCACTTTGGATGGGTAAGTTAAAAGTTTACAATGAAACTCACAGCCTTCAATTATCATCTTCTTGACTCTTGTAGACAGTCTGTGCTTTTTTTCTATTGTTGGTTACCCCTGCTTGTACTCCACTAGACATGCAGGGACCATCTGCTTACTCGACCGCATCTCTGCGCGTTGCTGGAAGGAGAGACTCTGGTGGGGATATAGCGGCTGACCCGAGCCTTGACACGAAACACTTTCGCGTTTGTCGTTTCATCATGGAGACAGGTAATCCAGGGGTGGTCTGTGTGTGAGTGTGAGAGAGGGTTCGAAGAGCAAGTTTTCAGGGCTATAAAGTAAACTTATCAAGTCTTACCTGCTAGGAATGACAAGTAAAGTCTTTGATTTAAAAAAAAAAGTATAATGAATTCAGATTAATGTATCAGCTGATTTACGTCATCAGTTGTATCAAAAGTTTTTAAAAAAAGTGAGTTGTTGTTCATTTTTATTAATTGGTTTCATGTGTTTGAGATCGCTGTTCTGTTGGAACACTCAGTTATTATCAAAGTTTTAGCTAGCCAGCTAGCCCTTAAGGTGTGCTGAAGTTGAAGAGTTTGGAGGTAGTCCTCCTTCTTCATAATGCTGCCTATTTTGTGCAATGTACCAGTACAACTCGTACCACCACAAACGGCCCCAGAGCATGATACTTCCACCACCATGCTTGGCAAGATGGTACAATGTTCTTAGGTTTGAAAGCTCCACCTTTACTCCTCAAAACGATCTCTTGTTATTTTGTCCAAAAAGCTAAATGCCTAAAGTCAAATGCCTAAAGAGGCAACCATGTGAGCAGCATTAAATTTCAGCTGAGCTTGAAAGTTTCATTGTTGGCTTGAGCCTAGTTGGTTCCTGGGTTATTTGCGAACATCGTAACCAATTTTGTCTCATTTGGGTTTTCCTCCAGACTTGGCGAAGTGGTGACATCTGAATAACGTGTACTTATGCACAATTGTCTGAACTGATTATACTGAAAGCACAGTTATTCATAAATGTCTCCAAGAGACATTCCCAACTTGTGTAAATGTACACTTCTGCGTCACACGTTGTAGTACTTTCCCTTTGTTCTGAATACATTCCAGTTATTGCTGTCAAAGAAATCCTTTTTATGCTGGTCAAGATTAACTACAAGTTATAGTCAATCATGATCACTAATGAGAAGTTAATAACCCTGTGTCAAGTTAAAAGACACACACTTTAAACATTTAAGTGAGTCCATCATGGTGGACCCTAGTAAATATCTTAACGTCTTCAGTTCTGCCACTTGAAGCTCCGCATCCCATCTTTCTTTCAGTCCCACCATCTCCAAACCTTACATCATAGCAGGTCTCACTAGCTTCTTGTAAATTTTACTCTTGCTCTTGTCTCAAATCCCCCCCCCCCCCATTCCTCTTGACACCTCCCCTCTTACCCACTTCATTGTGCTTAAGAGTGTTTTGAACATTAGAAACCCATGTTTAAATGCCTGAATTCAGCAATGCATGGTAAACATGTTCACAAAAAATGCTTTTGGTCTCTATAGTTAATCACTCCCCTCATTACAACTGTACAGAGGTGCTCATCTTGATTCTATTTTAAAATTTTATTGTTATATCTGTATGTATATTATATCTAATAAAGACTATGGTTTGCTAAGAATATACAGCACACCAAAAAACCATAATAATTTTTGTTTTCCTATTTTCTGTTTGAGCTCAGCGCTGCATCTTCCGGTCTAAATATAGCCAGTTCTGTCTCAAATAAACAACGAGGCAGCGGGCAAAGTGCTAACACTGTCTACGTTCATCTTTTGTATTTTGTCTAAGCCTGGAAAAAAAGAGGTTTCATTATAGGACAATACTTTGTCTATGTACTTACTCAGTGAAAACATAGATTTTGACTAACCTTTGCTGCCCTACGATCTAGATCTAGATGGTTAAAGTATGCATTATTGTTTTTTGTTTTTTTTGTTTGTTTTTATTTATATCATGTTTTTTTTTCTACCAAGTGGAAATGGGCATCTATAAAATTAGATAGATGGTGCCAGAAATTTAGAAAGACTAATCAGCCTTTTTCCTGAAATGGTCCTCACTTTCTGACACATGTGATCACACCCGTGATTAAGCAGCTCCCATTGACATTTAGTTTTTGACATAAGGCAAGTGATTGCTTATTTTGGTGTAATGATAAATTAAAGAACACATTTTATGCTCGTCTTTATTTTCTTTCAAATACATTGCTCCAGTGGTAGATGTTCATATCACCATAGTATCAAAGAATGAGCCAAAATAATTTTGCTCTACACTCTGTCTGATGACAGTGAGAGATATCGGAGTTCCCTATAATAGTCATCTCCCATTGCTCTGAAGCTTAAAGGGGGAAGACAGTCTGTTTCACACAGCGTATGAATGCTGTGCTGAGACCCAGTAAAATCTAAATAAGGACTATTTGAAATTTTAAATCATATAGAGCTTCTTTACGAGAATTCAAGAAAAAAATATTGAGTTGGAAATGAGCAGGTTAAGAAAGTCAAGGTTTAAGGTTTTTGAAACATGTGTCCAGTATTATGTATTCTTTCCTGGTTTTTGATTTGTTGATTTAATGGGATTTCAAACGAATAGTAATGTGAACTGAAACTGCATTTCAGGATTACAGTGGGTGAAAATAGGTGTGAATCAGTCAGCTAAAGATGATAAAACATTAGTGTGCCCTTAAAGACCTACATCTTACCCCCTCCTCTGTTATTCAGGAGTGAAACTCTGCATGCGCTCGGTGCCCGTGGCTACAGCATGTGTGCTCTATCATCGTTTCTTTGAGAGGGTCAGTATCCATGCCTATGAACCCTACCTAGTGGCCATGAGCTGTGTGTACCTGGCTGGTAAAGTGGAGGAGCAGCACATCAGGACCCGTGATATCATCAATGTAAGCCACAGGTAATAATTTAAAAGATGGAGTGTATAATCGACATTTTAACCTCACTGCTGAGAGAAAAACAATTTCTTGCTAACTGAGCCTCTTAGATATTTGACTTTGCTTGAGAACAAAAAGGTTGTGTTTTGTCTTTCTGAACTCTTTTTGTTATGAGAGGGACATTAAAAAGCCCCAAACATTTAATAAATCATTTTTAATGAGTAGTCTGCTTTTCTTGAATAAATGGTTTGGTCTGAAAAACATCACAAGAGTAAAAACAAAATAGCCTTGACCAGGAAGGCTTGTAAAGCCCAAGGTAATATTTTTAGATAAGACTCTGTCCCATCAACAAGTGCAAAACCAGAATATACTCAGTCTCCAGTCATAAACATACATTTAAATAAGACATAAAACAAAGTGCAAAAGTATGTTAATTTTCTGGGATCTGCACTTGGTACCCTGATTTTCTTAAAGTATGACTTTGGGCAGGCTCTAACCCACTCATGTGTGAGAAAATGCATGGAGAAAACACATTAACTTAAGAGTAGACATATTAAAAAGTGAAAAAAAAACATCAACATGAATAATAATAAAAAGTATTTCTGTTAAAAATTAAGCCAAGTTAAAAGTTGCCAGTCCCACTCCTCCACATAGTGGCTTGTTCTGAAGCTTTTGATTGTTTCAATATTTACATTCACTGAAATTTTCCCTGTGCCTTAAAAAAACCTGAACTCCACTCTGCACATGGAACATATGTATTATGTAGTTTGGCACTAATTTTTCTGAGGAAATATCATCTACACATACAGCACATATTGCTCTTAAACTGAAGTAGACAAGCATGCTATAAATGGACATCCTTTTTAAAAAAAAAAAAAAGCACAACCCTTCCAGGCTCTTGTCCCAGTGCTTTAAAAACATGTGGGCGGGCACCAGTTTAGCTCAGCTGGATGAGCAGGCAACTGTGAATCCTGTTTTATTTTACATTTCACATCACACTTTTATGGAAGTGGATACATTAAATAACAAATTCTTTACCAGGCAGTTTAACCATTCAGTTTTTGGAGCTGTCACCTTAAATGCTCTCCTCCACCCTTTCAGGTATTTCAACAGTGGCAGTACTCCTTTAGAATGTGACAAGGAGTTCTGGGACCTGAGGGACAGCGTGGTGCAGTGTGAGCTCCTCATCCTCCGACAGCTCAACTTCCAAGTCTCCTTCGAACACCCTCACAAGGTAGTTGTGAGCGCACGTGCACGGATCCCTGTTCCCTCCTTATTTGGTGCTAAACCTCCTTTTTGGTCTGTGTTACTGCCTGATTTTCTGATGCAAATGTGCTTGTGTTTATGATCTCTGTGATCTCTGGGACAAATAAGTGTTTTCTGTTGGCTTGAATGCTTTTAGTTTTACTTACATGACCCTTGCATTTAATAAAATAGTAAGTGTAGTAGTGCCTGATCTCTGAAGTTTAAATTTGTCTGCTGTCTTTCATCTTCAGTATTTGCTCCACTACCTGCTGTCTGTCAAGTCACTTGTGAACCGCCATGCTTGGTCTCGAACTCCTGTAGCTGAAACTTCCTGGGCGCTGCTTAGAGACTGTTACCATGGAGCCATGGTCATCTGCCACAGACCCCAACACATCGCCATAGCAATGCTGTACCTGGCTCTAAACAGCTATGGAGTGGAACTGCCTGCTGGGGAGAGAGAGTGGTGGCAGGTATGTGCTGAAAAGTGTTCCTATTCTCTCTGAAGAGAGAGGGCTAATCCAAAGTGCGTGTGTCCGTGCTCAAGTGAGAGAAAGAATCTGTGCACTGTAGGTGGATTTATTACTTCAAGACATCATCTTATAGGAAGTTAGAGGCTAGCAGGTGTTAGCTGATAAACCCAGAAGATGAAAGTTATTTCCTCCTTCATTTAGCTCTGAAATCAACACAGGAAATTCTGATGATGATGATGATGAACTGACATCTCTACTTTTCCATTAAGCTCCAGTTTAAACAGAACAGAAACCCTCCTTCACTTTCCTTCTGTTTTTCCCTCATTTTGAGATGATGATGTCGGATCAGAGTAGCTGCTCACATCGCACTTTCAATTTAGTGAGGGTAGAGGCGCAGGCATTTACACTGTGTATCACGAGTGTCAGTTTTATGCCTGGATGCCAACATGAAACTACAGGGAGGCAGATTAAATCTAATATAAATTTAATAATAGAGAAAATGAATTAAAAATTAGAAAACAAGCTAACAAATTACATCCAATGACAAGCTCAGCATTACGTCCAAGGTCACAGTTCGTCAAAACAACACAAGTTGGTATACCAGTTGCAGTGTCAGATTTTGAAAAAGGTTTTAGTCCCATTTGGTTGGTGCGATTTATCAACTGATGTGTCACCAATGAAAGCAACTGAAATGGCAGATATGTGACGGCAAATGTCAAAGAGTAAGAGATGGAAGCAAGTGGGATATCAGTCAAAGTGTTCCAGTGAAAGCAACTGAAATCTCAGGGAAGAATGTAAACTGTAAATGTGATTAAAGTTTCAGTTAACTTCTAAGCACTAAAGATACTTAAAGTATTTTAGTGTGCAAACCTCTGGTACTCATTTGTGTGTAGGAAGTGACAGCCGTTAAGTGTCCAGTGTCAACATGTTAGCAGCAACAAGAAACATTTAACTCGATGAATAAGGATGAGTAGCTGAAGTATGGCAATGAAAGCAAGTGAAATATCATGGCTGAAAATACTTGAAGTGACAGTCTGTATGTTTACAGTGACCATAGTTATAGATATCAGTTCAATTCCATTTTATTCGCATAATGCCAGATCACAACAACAGCTGTACTCTAAGGTAAAGACCCTACAATAATACAGAGAAAAGTGGAAAGGAAAAACTCCCTTTTAAGAGGAAGAAACCTCCAGTAGAACCAGGCTTAGAGAGAGGCAGCATCTGCCATGTGTCTTTAGTTAAAGCCTACTCTTCACTCTTGATGTGTTATTTGAAAACAGCTGACTGATGAGCTCATATGCAGCCAGTAATGGTAACTGTGTGAAACCACCAACTGGTAAATGGTAAGTGGACAGGGTTCTTATAGAGCTCTTTTCTAATCGACCTGAGCACTCAAAGTGCTTTACACAACTTGCCACATTCACCCATCCACACAAGCACTTTTATCTATGCTTTTTCTATGTAAGTGCTTTATATCTAACATTCACACACATTCAGACTCTGATGGATACATCAGAGAGTAACTTAGGGGTTAGTATCTTGCCCAAGGATATTTGGCATGCAGACTGGAGCAGCCAGGGATCAAACCGCTAACCTTCCGATTAGCAAATGACCTTCTCTGCCTCCTGAGCTTCAGCCACCCCAACACTGCATTTAAAATGTCAGTTAAAGCATCTGTGTTCAGTTAATTGAAGCGTTAGTTTATGTGCTGAAGTTGATAGCAGTCGAAAAGTAAATAGATCTTTTATAGAGCTGCTGTAGCTTCAAAAATTAAGGAATAATCTGCAGTACCAAAGTGGTGTTTACTGCCTCATCCAGGTGGTCAGGGTTGTATGCTGATGTTGCGCCACAGCACTCTTTCACATCCAGAACAGTTTGAGCTTGACTGGAGAAGAAAACCTCACATCAGCCACTTTTTTTTTTACATTGAAACCACAAGCCCCAGACAAAGTTACATGATGTCCTACTCCTCTATATCAGAGATCATTTTCTTCTTTTATTGAGTGGTATGGAATGCCTGAGAACATTTCCAAATTCTGAATTAATACGCCACAATTCACAGTTCATTTATTAAATGTATTTTTGTCTATATTCTATAAGTTTTTAACTTGAAAAATTAAAACCTTTTGAACTTTTGTGATTTATAATGACACAAATGGATAAATACTTATGTATAGCACATTCATAAATGTCTAAACTTCTGACTAAACTCTACTTTATATGTTTATAAGAAACTCGTGGATCGATCACAGTTCTTACAGCATGCTACACAAGTTAAAGATGGAAAAGCCTTCCTGGGCCTGTCAGCCAGCAGATTTCATTGTCTGACTGGCCCAGGTTGCATTTCCAGACATGTGAGAGGTTTGGCCGTTTTATAACATGCGGTCAGGATTCGCTGCCTGCATTCTTGGTAAGTGTTTACCAAGAAGCACAAAACCTTTGCATGTTGAGTTGTTTTTTTTGTTTTTTTTTAAACTAAATGATAAACAACAACAATAATAATATCCAACTTTATTATTCAAACAACTTGTTAATATCTGGATATTTTCTTGAATTTTCACTTTCCATACATTTCACTCTAGCATAGTTATGCAGACACCAGAAGAACAAGAATACAAGTACCTTTTGTTTAAAAATTAATGACTTCACTATAATTTTCATAGTTTTCAAAGGCTCAGTTTGCTGAATGAAACCCTTGGTTTGAAACTCCTGTTGTATATTGGTCCACATGAGAGAGACTTGTTTACCTGTGGATAACTTTTTGTTCAGCATGTCCTCATTTCCTCAAGTGTCTGCAGGAGACAATAGCCATGTCAATGAAAAATCCAGCTGGTTGACACAAATTGGAATTATTCTTTGAAGGAGCCTGCAGGATGTGGAACGTGAGCTCCTGGCTTTAAGTGTGTGAGCTGCATTTAGATTTGTCTATAACAGCACTGTAAGGTGGAGAAACAGTATGTTTGACACTAACCTTGATAAAACTAAAATCATGGAGTGCCTATGCAAGATCTGTACTGTTTGTGCCACTGTGCACTTAAACCGAAGTAACATTAACCTGTCCAGATTAGATTTTTTTTTTTCTAAGTTGCAGTATTCAAATGGAAATGGGGCAAACCCAGTTTTTTTCTGTCTTTCTGCTTTGGTCCTCAAGACAAGAGGACAAAAAAATATGTTTTTTAAAAATGGTGTGTCGACCTTTTGATGTCTGCTGTTTATTGAGGTGTGTGTGTGTGTGTGTGTGTGTGTGTGTGTGTGTGTGTGTGTGTGTGTGTGTGTGTGTGTGTGTGTGTGTGTGTGTGTGTAGGTGCTGTGTGACGACGTGATGAAAGCAGATATCGACGCTGTGATCGCAGACCTTCTTCAGCTCTATGATATGGAGGCCAAGTGTATCTGATGTATCTGAACAACACACCTACAAGACCATCACGTCTCTGTTTTGCCACTTGACTGTGCAGTACAAAGCTGAATGTGTGTTATGGTGCACATTGTAGTGTAAAACTGTACTTATATAGTGCTCTGCTACAACTGAGCACTCAAAGTGCTTGTGTTCAGGTGTGTCTAAGGTAGAAGAGCACTTTGTGTCTTTGCCCCAGTTATTCTGTGAGTTAACAAAAACATGCCTGCACTACTGATTTCTTCCAGTGTGGGGAGACATTTCTGTCATTTCTGATCTGTTATTTGTCGGCCTTGCACTGCATAATACATCCTGAGCGCTTCAAAAACATGCTGACTCTCAGTACCACCGATCTCTTCATATTCCACACATCACACATTTTTACTACAAATGCTAGATGGTGACTACTCTTAGATCTTTCTGGACTAGGGTAGTACAGCACAGTTTTTTTGTTTGTTTGTTTTTTCTTTGAGATTATAGGCTTGATTAGTACCTTGCAGAATAAACCTGCATATTTTCAAGGACAATGGATGCTACATACTGGATACCATAAATATCTTGTATTTTTACGATGCATAGTATTCACATACAAATGCATTGGTTGGATGAAGTATTATAGAGGAATATCTGTAATTTCCATTAATCCATTCATTTTTATTAACTACTTGTTCAGTTCAGGGTCACAGGAGGCCTGGAGCCTATCCCAGCCACGATCGTGGCTAAACAACTTGCAAGTCTGTTTCAGGGCTAGCAAATTTTTACATATTCATGCATTTTCTCCATGTATAATAATGTTTACATATTATGATTAGAAACTATTTGTAATTTAAAGGGGGCTCATTCTGATAATAATACAAATATTTGGGACTCGTTTCCCCTATATTCTGTCAGAAATACATTGTGTTACAATGGCTTTCCACCAGGAAAGATGTTAAACCAGCAAGTGGAGTCGGGTATAGTGCTATAGAGCAACTAAAATGCTTATTGCAAAATGCACAGACATGAGCAAGCTGAGTAAGTGCAGCTCTGTAGACGGGGAGACGAGGGAGTATATTTCCCACTTCCAGCATGGCGAGAAAGTAACATGTCTATATACCAGGGGAGAGCTGACCTCATTCACTTACAGTATGATTATAAGACTGAGCCTACCTTAAGTTCATGGATGTCAAATGAATAGATAAAACAGTGTTAAGAGATTTTTAAATGGTTCTTTATTCCCAAGTTTTACTTATATTTTTTTCAAGCTCATTTATAGGAAATACTTTGAATGGAAAAGATGATGTTGAACTTTTAAAGTTTAATCATTTAAAGTTAACATTGTGTCACCCAAAAATGAAAATATGGTGTTGGAAATGAAAATAAGATCTTTTTAAGGAAACTATAAAAAGGAACTAAATTTGTAACCAATTTGTTTGGGACTGAGACAATAAAGGGAAATGCTGAGAAACAGACTAAGAAATTCTTGTGTTGTTTTTTGACAAAATAAACAAAAGGAAGATAATGATGTTACAGTGATGTCCATAACAGGTATATTATTCCCTTCTTAGTGCTTTTTGTGGTTACATAGCATGTTTCATTTAGTAAGATTCACATTAGCCACAACAATGCAGCTGCTATTTTCCCTGGAACATCACTACATTTTGCAGAGTCTGATGCGTTTTGTGACAAAACAACATAACATACAAAATAACATTTCAGCATAATCTAATATGGCATACATTGACAATAATTAAATTCATTTGATTAACTTCTACAATGATGAGAAACCTGGCAGAAGTATATTTTTTTTAAATCATGTTCCACTTATTTCTTGTAAGGGCATATGAAATTCCTTTAGTCAAATAATAATACTACTACTGAACTGGAAATGAGCAGAATAGGTCCAATTTAAGAGCGGCTTTTTGTTTGTTTGTTTGTTTGTTTGTTTGTTTGTTTTGTTTTTTTTAATTATCAAGAGTGAGTATGCAGAAGTTAATGGCAAACCTATTACTCATTTTAGGGTTAAGGACTGAAAAATCTCCATCAATACTAAATATAACCATCTCGACTCACAACTGAAATGCTTTGTTTTATCTAAGACTGCTGGGAAGTACTGGAAAAAAATTAAAGCAATTTTTGCTCTCTGTAAATCCCTACTGGATTTTAGTGATGTCTTGATTCTTTAGAAGGTTTGATCATGAAGCAGGGATTAAATTTCATTCTGTTTGGTATATAAATAAGTCCTCAACAAGTCTTAAATGTAATTTCTTACATTTCAAAAATGCTTGATTCACTGCATTGTGTCACCTAATGTGACTTGAACAGGTGTTCAGTTGTTTTTATGGCAACAAATACCAGTAAACAAAGTTAATAATAAATAAAAGAAAATATGTCAACACTGTTTGTGAAGTCACTTTTCTTTGGTCCTCAGTCCTCATATTCTTGTCTTTCCTTCACCAACCAACTTTTTTTAGGCACACTGCTTTTCCCTCTCTGAGGCTGGTTCTGCTGTACCTATCTTCCTGTTAAAATGTAGTTTTACTTATCACCAAGTGCTTGTTCAAAATGCATCACCTAATGATTGGACTTCTCGCTGTTAGTATTCGGATGCATTTCAATACTGCAACAAATGACTGCAAGTTGTTATTTAGCAAACTCATATAAAGTTAACCATTAGCGTCAGGTGGCTAATAATTTTTCGCGCTGGTAGTTTGGGGGTTTTGTGTAATATTTTGTTTCAGTAAGCAGAGTAAAAATAATCAAAGTATCCAAAATAAAACTACAATGTTTGGGAAAGCTATGTCAAAAATTCCCTGCTCTGTTTAACAGGACTTGGAAAATATTTAACTACCAATAAATCTTCATAGAGGGCTACAAATTCTGTAATCCTCATCTGTACATCTTTAATACCTTTAACTCAAATCAATGGCTAGACAGTTGAAACTTGAATTCAACTTAGTGTTTCAACAGTGATTCCAAACACACACCAAAACTGGTTTTGGACTGGATAAAGCAGGCTAATATTAACTTGCTGGAATGGCCTTCCCAAAGCCCCGTTTTCAACCCTACTGAAAAATTGTATCAAATATCCAGCAAATACCAGAGGCTTGTTGATGGCTTACCAGAAGCATCTGGTCAATGTGCAACTTCTCAAGGGACATTTAACAATTAGCCAGATATTTTCCTGGGTATATATGTATACTTTTATCTTGTGTGGATTAGAGGAAATCCAAAATAAATGAAAAACTTGTGGATCCTATTCTTACTCAAGGTATTCCTGAATCCTTTGGTGAATGTACTGGTTCTTATACAACATGTCTCATTCACCCATGCACTAATATTCATTCACACACACACACTGGTGGAGGCAAGCTACAGTTGTAGCCACAGCTGCCCTGGGGCAGACTGACAGAAGCGAGGCTGCCATATCGTGCCAGCGGCCCATTACCAGTAGGTGGAGTGTCTTGCCCAAGGACACAATGACAAACACAGACAGAGTTGAGGATCGAACCGGCAACCTTCCTGTTACAAGATGAGCTTCCCAACCCCCTGAACCACGGTCGCCCCAATAGAAAACACCATAAGAAGATTGTTGTTGTGAACCTACACTACAGAAAAACACTAAACTGAGATAAATCAATATGGTGAAATGTATGTTTTCTTCCTTCTTGTTTGGCACTGTGCTTGGATGTCTGCCACACTGCTGGTTGTGATTATCTCTTGAAGATATACTGATGATAAGATGAATATGGAATATATCCATCCTTACATTCTGTATGTTGCCATTGCTGCTGTGTGCGAGGAGAAAACTGAAATTGTGGATACTATTAAAGTCTTTTTTTTCTTCCTTCTGTTCAAAGCTTCTTAGATGTGATATATTTAGCAGATGAGCACCTTACTTTCCTGAATTTAGCTTGCAAAAAAAAAAATCAGGTCTGCCTGTACGTGTGTGTTTGTCCAGGTTGAAGATAGTCACATGATCATTTGTGACACATCTGAGTCTCTGCCCCCCTCCCCCCCTCCTCTCCTCGTCCTCTTCGTGCATTCTGCCTCTCTTCACGGGGCAGGATACATTGCATGCATCCCAACAGCATCACGTGTCATGTAGCATTCCTCTTCTTGACACATTTTCTCCCTTCTCATCTGTCACTCTCGTTTAACTCCAGCTTTTTTCCCCCCTTGTGCATGTACTGGGAAAAATCTGTCTGCTTCTCTCCTCAGTTGCTCCTTTCCTGTCTTCCTTGTCTCTGTTTTTCTTCTCTCTCTGTTCCTGTCCATCTCCGTACTTATCCCTCTGCCCAAATCCTCAGCTTCCTTCCACTGCTTTTGTTTTCACCGTCTGTCCTGTGTCCCTGCATCTCCCACATTTTTCTCTGCTTCTCCTCCCTTCTGCTGTCCTCCTCCCTCTGTCTCCCTAATGTTGTATTAATAATGGAGAAGGTGCACGTTCAGGCAGGCTCCATAAATTAACCATCAGATGGGAAGGAGCAGAGGAGTAGGGAGAAAGGAGAGCAACATAGATGGATGTGAGAGGAGTGGAAGTAAGGTTGGTAGGTGAGGAGAAGAAGGAGGCAAAGATGAAGGTAAAATGACGAGTGGAGGATTGGAGAGTTTATCTTTGTATCGCACTTCAGCACTCTCCAGCCTGCTTGGATGGCCTCCCCTCTCCTCTGTCGACTTCTGATCTGCTTACACATCACTTCAGCCTTTACTCTGGGCTTGAGGGCAAGTCAGAAGGTCACACTCACACAACCAGCTGTGTTCATGTGCATCTCCATGTGCACGAGTGTTTATATCAAAATGACAGTTTGGGATGTTGAAGCTGTATCAAGCCTGCAGTCTAGGAGCTGAGTGTCCTTGACCTGATAAAAGCCCTGCAGTCTTCAGCTTCAGACCTATGAGAGATCAACCAAGTGCTTCTAAACACACTAAATGCCTAATGCACAGACAATAGATTGAAGAGAGCAAGTTTGTCTGTCAGTTTGTGTGCGTGCGTGTGTGCCTGGTCTTAGTATTTAGGGGAGGAGCAAAAAGAGCAGTTTGCATGATTCATCGTTCGTGTAAACAGAGCGATAATGAAAAGATGGATCGGTCAGCAGACAGAAAAATCCATCGTACTGTCAGCTGAAGGTCTGTCAAGGCCTTATGAGACACAGCCTTTCTTAGTGGGAATATAATTATAAAGAAACTGTTCAAATGTGAAGCATTTCTTTGTAAAAATAGATGTTATATAACAAAAACAAAGTGTTCTGAAAAAACATCTTCAGTTATAATTTATTAAGAGTTAAGACTCAAGGCCAAGAGTCTCTAGGCATGCCAGCAGCTTGGAAGCTTTACTTGGATGTAGCCATGCTTTGAGCGGATATGCTAATATGAAAAACCTGTAAACGAACGCTGGTGATCCAGTTGTCAAGAATAATATTCAAATTTGGTACGAGGTGGGAAAGTATATATTTACAAAAAAAAGATTTGTATCATCCATCAGATGATATCATATCCTGAGTCGTCTTTTCAGTCTGACTAGAAAATATGTTGTTGTTGTTTTTTTTATTCTTTTTTAATGCAAGAGTTAACTACAATATCTACTGCTGAGATGCTTTTTTTTTATTTATTTTTTTAAAGCAGATGAACATATTTCACTCACTGGATCCCCTCAATTACCTGCCACATCATGACAAATGACAAAGGTTTGTTTAATAAGAGGCGTCATATCAGAATTTTGTGTCTTGTTCCTCGGAGACTTTAGTAGCTCCACTATGTGACTTTGCACTGTCTTTTCTGCAATATAAATTTTTACAGCTTCTCAATTTTTTGGAAATTTAATTAAACTCAAATGAAACTTAAATGGAAGCAGGAGCTTGTTTGTTAACTTGTAATCATAAGCATGTCTCCAGCATGTTGATAATTATCAGTAAGGTACAGAATTTGACAGGATAAAATTTTGACCTGAGGCTGGTGCTAGATTAAAACGATCAGCAAAGGAATTACAATTCACTACCTGGGACCACATCCACGTTTAGGTTTGGCAGTGTTTCGAGTAGATAATGGCAGATGGTGTGTGCATGAATTGAGCCTGCAGTTTGGGGAAGGGCTCAGAGGGGACTGGCGCCGGCTCCCAGGCAAGCCAGATCCTCATGTACTAATGAGAGGTAAATGAATTGAAAAAGGGACGGAGGGAGGGTGGGGCACTAAAACAAGAACAAACAGCTTTTAATACAGGGGAGTCATATATGGACAGAGAACCAACTCCTGAAATCAAGATATACTATCTCTCATTCATCATGTGGAATGCAAATCACTCTCAACTGTGATTGAGCTAACAACACAAATGTGAACCTCAAATAAAGACGTAAGACTTTACTTGAATTAAAGATAACAAGATGAAACTATAAAATCAGCACCAAAGCTTTCATCAAGATGTGTGTGTGTGTGTGTGTGTGTGTGTGTGTGTGTGTGTGTGTGTGTGTGTGTGTGTGTGTGTGTGTGTGTGTGTGTGTGTGTGTGCATGGACAGTCTGTGGTCCATCTCCCTGCAGTGTAGAGGATATCTATTAATAAATTCATTTGATTCATCTATAAATACATTTCTCCTCTTTCTCCTCACACTGGCGTGCTGTATAATGCTGTACAACAGCAGCCATGCATGTGGATGGGGGAGGGTGGTGTGGGTCTGGGTGACTGGTGTACGTGTGTGTGTTGGCTGGAGATTACATGAAGTGAACATATGACTCTCTGTTCTTCAGCACCAGGATATGCAAGCTTTCAGCACAGTGGACAGTTCCTGAGCTTTGTGGAGTTGCAGAGAACAGAAGAACAGCCCCCAGCTTCTAAAGTGGGATTAACTCTGGTCCCTCTCACCCAGACACATGAGCTGTGGACCAGCTTCCCAATGTGTGGAGGCCACTATCTACAGGGCTTGTATGTGCAGACTCTGAAAAGAATTGTTTTTGCACTTGACTTCATAGAGTTTGCATGAAAAGAACACTTTGTCTCTTCAGTTGATCTCACTCCACATAACAGGGCATCCTTTTCCATTCATGTCATAAGAATTGCTGCTGCTTCCAGAAATATAAACTCATCTTCTCCTGTGCCCCAGAGGAGATTTCCCAGAACCACACACTGCAAACAGAACAGGAAGGGCTTTAATTAACTGGATACAAATGGTGCTCAAGCAAATTGCTTAAGCATGCAAGCACAGTTAAGCACAGCTACTGTCTGCATGTTAGCTTTAAAGTATTAAAGTTTAAAGTTGGAGAGTAACATGGTATATTCATTAGTATCCTGTACTGCAGTGGAGGACCTCAGATGGTACTAGGTAGGTCTTATACGGTTTTCAGCGGCTTGGCCGACTGCCTAACATTTCCCTTACTTTGCAAAGGTGAACTTAAAGATGAATGTGTGACACATTAGAATAAGACATATTTCTGGCTCTCCCCAGACACCATTTTGTTCCCTCTGCCACCTTACAGGGAATTTTGTATTACAGTACAGCTGTTGTATTGCTACAAAGTAGACAAATGTTCTAATGCATTTTTATAGAGGCAGTAGGTCTGTCCACAATCAAAAATAATTACAACTTGCTGAAAATTTTCTGTGCCATTTTTTCAATCATTTGGTACTAAACTAAGATTAAAACAGTAACAACAAAGACGCATAGTGTTTGTCTTTTCGGTCAGTTTTCAGATTGGCAGTTGTAACAAAGCTCACAACTTTATTTAAATAAATGGCAGAGGTTTGAAGATTTTACACACTTAAGCAAAAAACAAACAAAAAAAACTATCTGACTGTAAACTATACACAATGAAGTTATCCACCTGTTCTTTAGTGAAGTCTCGTTTTGGAGCTTTAAGTTGAGAATTTAGCTTTTGCCTTCTTGGTGTTTTGAAATTAGAAACAAAGAGCAACTAAGAAACCAAATGACTCTGCATGCTGGTAACAGTAACCTTTCTACAACAAAGCAGGCCTACCTGAAACATTGTGTGGCATTATAGAGAATTTAAAGTAATCAGGACACTGTTTACTTAGGGGGCAATACAAGGTCATTAAAATGTGTTGTTTTCTCACAGACTTCTATACAATCAAATGTTGGTTAGTAAGACTGGAACAGAGCTACTACAGTAATATGATAAACAACAAAACAAGTGTTAACGGGACTCTATGCAGTCCTGTGAAAGGTAAGTATACCATTAGTGCTGCCAGGAATTAAGAAGGTAATTAGTATCCAGGTGCTGCTAATCGAGCACTCAACGAGCAAGTGTGAACACCTCTATAAAAGAAGTTGTGGCAGTTTGCTTGTATGGAGCATTCAGGTGTGTGTTAAAACAATGTCACAATCTTCGCAGGACTGGTTGTCCTGTCAGACTATGCAATGCTCAGAGAGAGAAAAAAAATACCCAAAAACAGAAAGACCCAAGCACTATATCTCAGATTCCACATGTCTCAGTTAGCATGTTAAATGTTAAAGTTCATGAAAGTACAATAACAAAAAATCTGAACCAGTCTGGCTTGTTTGGAAGGGTTGCCAGAAGAAAGCCACCTCTCTAAAAAGAACATGGCAGCATGGCTTAGAGGTGCAAAACTGCATGTGAAGAAGTCACAAGACTTCTGGAATAATGTCCTTTGGATGGACAAGACAAAATAATTCGAGACAATTTATCTGAATTTCAGGAGTGGGCCAACACCTTGTACACACCCCTTCCAGTTGTCTGTCTGTATATGACCCCCCACCTCCTGAAAGACAAGCTGTTTGTTGTTTTTACTTGTTTTTATGGCACATCCTCCCTCCCTTTTTAAAACTCATTTACCTTTCATTAGCACATGAAGCTATGCCTGGCCCAGAAGCTAAGATTGTCCCTAAACTGCAGCCTTAATTCTTGCTTAACCATTATCTACCTGAAACTCTAAATGAGGATGTGGTCCCAGCTAGTGAAGGCATATCATAATGCACACATTTGGCAAAATAACATATCACCACAAACACCACACCATTTATGTAAACCTTTAAGGAAAATGTCGGTGTTCTTTCTGTATAAAGTGTTCGTAACTCAAATGCCAGACATCTAAAGATTGTAGTGAATTTAAATGGACAGGATCTGATCCACGTGTTCTTTAAATGTAGTACTAATTGCCATTTTGTTTAAAGGTGCTGGATTACATATTTTGCTGTTTGCAGAATAAGAGTTTTGATGTTTTCCGTTGTTATAAGATTTGCCGTTAGTTGATTTGGCATAAAATGAGTTCTCCAAATTACCAAAATGGCTGCCTATTTTGGTAACTTGGAGAACTCGATTTAAGCCAAATTAAGGACCTGAACAGTGGTGAAGTGGATTAGAATGGTTAGTTTGTGGCTTTAGGTCTATAAGTGAACGACTGGAAGCTTTATTTTTAAAAGGTAATGTTGAGATCAATGCGTGCCCGTGCTGGGATTTTTTAAAAAGATGGCTTTAGATGCCAACTGATAACAGAGACTGCTCTAGAGGAAAAACGTTCGTTGCGGTGTGTCTGGTGTCGTCATGACGCAGTCGAGTAGGTGGGGGTGACGTACAGAGCATTCCTCAACCCCCTCTAACGGATGCTGAGACTGAGCTCCTGTGCGCGCGAGCTCTGGTAGCAGCTCAATCTCCTCCTCATCCTGCAAAGATGTCGCATGAGCTTCTCCTCACACGTTTCTTTTCTTTCCTTTTTCTCCCACTGCCCTTCACAGTTCGCCGAATTTGGTTAAATTAGCTGCTTTCATAGCAGGGAGTAGCTATCCTCGTCCAGGCACACGGACGCCCCCTCCCCACAACGGAGGTGTTTAAACCCTCAACCGGCGCATTCTCTCTCTCTCTCTCTCTCTCTCTCTCTCTCCAACCGCCGCAGAACTCCGCCGACCAACCGTCAGGTGACCGCGCGGAGCGGAATATTCACCCGCACGGCCGTCGACTTTCATCCCTTCACTCCTTCGGACTCCAGGCAACGGGAGCTGCCGCATTCCCTGTCCCCCCGTGTCCTCTCATCCGGTTTGGGACATTCTCCGCTCCACGCACACGCAGATTAACGGGGATTCTGCCTCCCCACCCGCGCGCTGATGCTGATGTCCTTGAGCTCGGCCTGGACGGTGAGTCGATGAGTCCGTGCGTGCTCGCGTGCGTCACTGTTATTTACCCCGGGTACCCGAGCGCCTTTTTAATGGGGAAGATGTGCTGCTTTCGCTGTGATTCGTTACTCGCATGTCGGGAGGTTTTTACGGGCTTACAGAATATGCAACATGGCCTGATGTGGCATTTGTCATCGCAGGCCTTACACAGCTATAATAAAGCCTATACAGTAGAGCATACCATAATAACCTGGCGAGCAGCGCTATGACATTATAAGGAAGTGTGTGCCTGCGTGTACGCGCGTCTACGCGCCGATGTGCGTGCACACGCGTGTGTAAATCTACATATATATTCATCCTTCCATCCGTCCACTCATCCGTGTCCCGTGTCAGTTGATGAAGGGCTACAGTCCCACATTATCACCGAGCAGCACGCGCTGTTCTCGCGCCTGTCTCTTGCCTTTCCCGGGCGCTGTATGCAGCAGACATGTAAGGGCTATTTGGGATCAGTTACGTTGTTTGTCTCGGTTACGGCGCATCGCACCTGCAGCGCCAACTGCGGAGAGGTTTCATTTTGATCCGGTAATGATCCGTGGCCCAAGGGATCTTCACATGTCGCCCGGCGTCGCGTGGGTGTGAGTTAGGCAGAGTGGGCCGGCGGTGGCCGGGCCAGTAACCTTGCGGAGGGACATCGGGTAAGCTAGTGGCGCACCACTGGCTTCACTCTGTCTCTCCTTGCCTTTGAGCGGGCCTGCCTTGTAAGTGTCTCGACTTTATTCATAACCTCCTCTTGTTGCTGTATGTGTTGAAGATGAGCCGAGAGATGAAGCTTGAGTAAGTGTGAAGGTGACCAGGAAAGGTCGTTTTGAATGGGAAATACACTGTTGCATGAGGCAGTTCCAGGTGCACCAAGAATTAGTAATGTGTGTGAATGTGACTTTAGCTTTGGGTGGGTGGAGATGTATATGCGCTCATGTGGGAAGGACATGGGATACCTTGAGTATATCAGTGCTGGATGTGATGGATACAGATGGATACACGATAGTACCCATTAACTAGTTATCACTAGGCCATTTTCTTTCATTCTTTCTTTCCCCTAATTTATGCCCACATTTTGTTGTCTTTCTCAAACGTTTTCCATCCCCACCCCCCTCATCATTATCCTGTTTCTTTAACGGGCTCTACCGTAATGTGGATATCTAAGCCCTGTTGGCGGCCCACCTTTAATGGCTTCAGCCTCTTGACTGTGTTAAATTCTAAGTGTGCTATTCCCACTGGGGAATAACAGAAGTGTGACTGGCACCAAGCCAGGCAGGCAGCTGCCCAGATACAAAGGCCCCACCAGAGGGCCTTTCGGAAAGTAGGACTGCAGGTGCACAGGTGGACTGCAGCGAGCTATAGGGAATACTGACACGCTCGCATACATGGAATGTGGACAATCTCACCACAGATGACAACAGTGTGCACAAGATTTAGAAACGTGAACACACTGCTGCACACAAACTTATTCAGTTACACATGCTCAAGTCTGTGGAGCCTGGTTTGCCTCTATCCACCACACACAACACATAAACACACATACTCACACACACATACAAAGTCAGAAAGCATACATGGACCTCCTGGCCCGAATTCAAATCCCATGAGGATCTTCTCTCCTGTGTCTTCTGCACACTTCTCAACCTCCTTGCTGCTGCAATGAAGAGAAAACACCAGAGGGAACAGAACAGACACTTTCTCTTTTTAAAAAAAATAAAATTGCTTCAACCCTCTAAGGGATAGTGTGTGGACAAGCAGGTCCAGCATTCAGTATAAATGGGCAGGCTGCTGACAATTGTGGTGACCTTTTGTTTGACTCTTTTCATGTTCAGACACATTTTCAGTCAGGACAGGACACCCCTACCCCCTTTGCTGACTCTCTTATTTTGAAAGCGTTGTTGTGTATGACACATTTGTGTGCGTCATGACAGATCATATAATTGATGTCTCTGGGCATGAGGGTTTGTGTCTTTGTGTGCTTACTGTCCATTTGTGATGCTTGCATCCTGTGCCTAAAGGTTTGTGTGCATAAGAGTTAGAAATGCATGACAAAACAAAGTGCTTCTCTTTTTTTGCTATGTATGTAATGCAGCCTTACATGCACTTGTGTGTTGCACACATCAAAGCTGAGTCAAGCAGAAGGCCACATTCAGAGTTGGGTGCAGTAGTTTGGACGATGAACAGAAGCTGTTTGTTACGTGACTGTTACAAAATCAGACGGAATCAGTGAGTAAGACATCAGGCTGGATAAGAAAATGTGCAACTGGCTGACTAAATAAATGATTGCAGTAGCAGGAAGCAGGTAGACGGGGAGAGCAGCAAGAAAAGGGTGTTGGGATTGGGGCGGAGGTAAAAATAGGTAAAAATAATAACAAGCAATGAGACACCACAAGACACAGAATGGAAGAACACAAAAAGGTGGTAAAACCATATAGATGGAGCAGAAAGATAGATATAGAGCAAGAAGAAGCTTCAAAGGCAAAGGAGGGTGACTCAGTCATAAACTAACACTCTCAGTCAGGATAGAAGCATGACAGGCAAGAGAAGAAAAAGGGGAGGGAGAAGATGCAAGAGGCAGAGACTGAAGAGTGGAGAGGAGGGAGGAGAAAAGGAATTAATAATCAGTTTCACTTTGGGGTTTTTTCTGCTCGTCCACATGTAAAATACTCTTATAGGGAAAAAGAATCTGATGTGTCATGTGTGATGCTGAGAATAGTTAAAGGTGGTGCTATTTGCTCATGCAGGATGAAGCTTCGTTAGTGTTGGTGCAGTGGAAAGAGAAAGGAATGTGCTGCTGTCCTAGGCGATGCTGAGTGTTGTTGGTGTCAGATTTATTTTAATGAAATTTGTCCCAGAGATAGGTTAACATGTCAGTGATTAGGAAATTGTTTTTCAATAGATTAAGATGAGGAGCTCACTTCAGGAAATTCCAGATGTAGTGTATTCAACTGGTCTAAATTAATACTACCGGAGTATGACAGGGTAGCTTACTGTTTAGAAGTCCCACAAAAATATCAAAATATCCAAAGCAGGAAAAAGAATATATCTAGTTTCCCCACCAGTGGCGTTTTCAGTTTTTTTTTTCAAATTTTTTCCCCCTTTTTTAATGTAATAGCCCCAGCGAACCGGGGGGATGGGATTAGAAAATTCCATCTGATGTAAAACCAAACCAGCTAAAATTACTTGCAAATTCAGTGAGTTCCCACGACATTAATAATCACAGACCTCCCAACTACATCAAGGGGCTCTACAGTAGGACATGTGGCTGCCCTATAACCATATGGTGACCCCATGTATGATGCAGGACAAGATTCCCGGGGATAGTAGGGCTAAAACAGTGCAGTGCTGTAAATACAAAACTATTTTATTGAGTGGTAGAATTAAAGAATAACGTCTCACACATACTTTGTGTGAAGTCCTCTATTGTGAAGTAAAGAAGTTAGAGAATGGATGGCTGTAGAAAAAAACCCCCCACTATTGCTATTTAGGCACAGTGTTACATTGGGTGACATGCTCTCCCACGTTTGCACACATTCGCATTTTGACCCACAGTTGTAAATAGTTCTCTGTAAAACATCAGTTTAGTCCTCTTTAAGAAATAAAAAACTGCAGTGCTCTGTTTTTAAATGGGTCTATTCTGCTTTACCCGTATTTCTGTTCCCTGTATACTGTTCCAAAGGTGCATGATACTGTAAAACATAGCCAGTCTTTCAATTAATGTGGTTATCGTATGTAAGTAATCGGTCTGAGTGAAAAGCTCAGGATTCAGACTGCTCCACTCACGTACTTTGACACAGTCTTTTGTTTTCTGTTTGACTCTGTGTGATGTCAGTGAGAGTAGGTCTGGTGGCACGCATATAAGCCTTATTCACATGACTTTATAAAACTTTGTGAGGGGCCAATCAGAAGAAAATTATCTGAAAGGGAGCGGTAGGGGACTGAAAACAGATTATTTTAGATCAGCATCAGCTGAGGAGCTTCATAAATGATTAGTGTAAGATTACTCTGAACTGTGAATAGGGCTGCTCGATTATGGAAAAAATGATAATCACGATTATTTTCACTGAAATTGAGATCTCGATTATTTGACGATATTTATTTAACAATAACAATGTATTGAATAATGACTTTAAAGATTGTCAAAAAATAATATAAAATAGTGTGCAAATGTTTGCAATATAAAAAATAAATGAAAAATGCAAACATCTATGTTTAGTGAACTTTGCAGTGTTGCTCTGTAGCAACGTTTACACACTCTGTCTACTTGATCCACGTCTGACTCCGCGAACCCATAATGTTTCCACACCACTGAAGTTTTTTTTACCTCTCTTTTCAACCAACAGCAGTCACTCTCCTCTCCAAATAACTTCTGCTTAGCTTTCCGAGCTTTCCGAGCTTCCCTCGGGTAGTCTTAATCAGCAGTCCCCAACCCCTGGGCCTCGGACCGGTACGTGAGTCGTTTGGTACCGGGCCGCAAGAGTTGAGGCTCAGGTGTGAAACGTATGGTTTTCAGGGTTTTCAGGGTTTTTATCGGTTTTCAGCGTTATTTTGTTATCGTTTTTATCGTTTACTCGGTTTTCCTTGGTCTTTTCACGTGTGTTATGAATAAATTTTCTTTTTTTCGGTACCGGTACTCGTTTTATTTTTTTGTATTTATCCGCGACACCTTAAAGGCCGGTCCATGAAAATATTGTCGGGCATAAACTGGTCCGTGGCGCAAAAAAGGTTGGGGACCGCTGCTCTTAATTGTTGTGACAATTAAGAGCAGCGGAGAGGTGCGCAGAGAGGTGCGCTCGATTTGCCACACGGAGCAGCGCGAGAGTAAAGCACGAGGGAGGGGCTAATAATCGGCTCAGTCATTTTTAATGATCGTTGAAAGCCCAGATCGTAATCGAGATTAAAATTCGATTAATTGAGCAGCCCTAACTGTGAAGCATGAAAGAGTACACACACAGTAAACAGTAGAGATTAAGCATATTAAGTTTGAAATGAGCAGACCCTCTCAGACCCACTTTAAGGAAAGGGAGGAAAGAGCTCTGAATTTGGGACCAATATTTTACATCTTCGATAAAAAGCTCTCTGTCCCACAGCTTGTGGCTCAGTAACATGGACAGGACAGAGAAGTACTGAGCAACAAAGCACCAGAGTAGGGCTGGGAGATATGGAAAACAATTAACTATTTTCATATTGATATATGTCATGATATAAAATACAAGGATGACTTTTTCTCTTCCTTTTTAATTTTAAGTGAGATGTGAAAATATAAGGTCAATTATGGTTTAAATATTATTTCTGTCAGAAGCTGAACATTATAAATGTACTGCAACAACTGTATTTTAAATTAATAACAAGGGTATAAATAGCAAACTAAAGCAAAACCTTTGAGTGTTACAGTGGTCCCTCGTTTATTGCGGGAGTTAGGTTCTAAAAATAACTCGTGATAGGTGAAATCCGCGAAGTAGCCAACTTTATTTTTTACAATTATAGGCTGTAAAACTCCTCATTACACACATTATACACTTTTCTCAGACAGGCATGAGCATTTTCACACTTTTCTCACTTGTTTAAACACTCAAAGTTCAAACCTTCGTAGAAAAATTACTCTAGTATTATAGAATGAAACCAAGGCACCCGCGGTTGCCTTTGACGGTGCAAAACACGACATTGTTGTGTTTGTTGGGGAGAAAACTTACAGACATACAGTACAGCACTTCAGAGTCACACTGCTAGCGATCGAAGATTTATGTAAATTTGACAAGCTGAACGCATTCTGTACTGTAGAGGAGACACGGCACGAGATTGATTGACAATGGTCTACAGTAGGGGTGGGCGATATAAATGATATACGATAGAAACGATATAAATTTGGCCAATGATAGAGATTTTGACTATATCACTCTATCGCGATAGCGCAATGTTGATGATGTCATCAAGCTGCACCTGTTTTGGTCGAAAGCATCGCAGCGGCTAAAACCATTATCATCTGCAAATTATGGCGGGCGACAGTCATAGCAAAGAGATGAAGCACTTTTGAAATATGGGGAAAGCCAAAAACTGCGCTTCCTCCACTTCCGTAACATTGATTCATTAATGTTGAATTCTCTCGCAGCTGTTCTATTCCCATGTTGTTGCAGTATATTAATAACTAACCTCGTATTGTGGATGAGTAATCTCAGTTGTTCTCCTGACTGAAGTTTGGCCCGTGTATAGCATCCTGCTATGCGATTGCATTTGTCCCCAACCACCAGAATCCCTCATGTTAACTTTTATTGAGTGGAAAAAAAGTTGGCGTTCATCCTCCAGCTTCACTGTGCTAATGTTATACTAACATAGCTGTGTCGCTAGCAATCACATAGCACAATATTATATACCAGGTAGTCCAACTTCAGTAACCCTGAAAACGCCACTGCTGTTTAGTTTTCTGTCTTCATTTATGTTGGAAGTGGTAGCAGAGCTGTACGTTTTAATTAGTTTCAAAAATCTTTCAGTCAGAACATGGTATGAAATGTTTAGGTGTAAACTAGCGAGCTAACTTCCTGTTAACTTCTAACTCCGTTAAATTTAATAAATTCTGTTTTCATGGATGCATGGATGTTAAACTTAATTGTTACACCCGATAAAGCAGCAACGCTGATGATTTTCTTAAAGATGAAATAATTTAGACCGTTTTTAACTCTTAGTGTTCGTTTGACTTTGGGACCTGAACAGGATGGAGTTTTGGACCCAGATTACTCCGCGAAGATCCTCACTATGGCAGCTGTAATGCTCTGACAATCCATCAAGCAGTGTGGCTTACCAAAGTTGTACTAAAAAATCTTTTAACAGTGTTACGTCCGCCCGAAGGGGTCTAGGCATGCGAGTGAGGGGACCAGTAACAAATGAGTCCAGAACAGAATGAAAGGAAAAAAGACAGGTGTTTTTGGTAAATAAAATAGTCTTTATTATAGATAATCTTAACATAAAGAGCCGGCAACGCCGTTTTACCAATAACACTTGGAAAAAGGGAAAAAAAGGTTGCAACAACAAAGAACACAACAACCAAACAAAAACTCCACACCACGAGGAGGCACTTCCAGGGGCCCACAAGCTCACCCTATCACTAGCAGCAGCTAGCTTTACTGCTGCCGAGGCCCACAAGCCCACACTTCTCACCTAAAGCAGCTATACTCTTTCCACAACTCCACACTTCAGGCAGGATAACTACACACCAAGAACACCCCACACTGCTCACAGCTCATCCCCAGCTTATATCTCCGCCCCCGAAATGGATGATACGGCTATTAGTGCACAGGTGTCTAGAAGCTTGTTTGTAAGTAATAACATCCACCTGGTTCCCGTTTTCTGTGAATCCAGTGTTGAGAGCTTCTTCAGTGTGTTTGAAAGCATAGAAACTGCATTACAGTGGCCTGAAGACGTGTGGGGGGTGATATTGCTGTGTAAATTCACAGGTAGGGCTCAGGAAGCTTGTTCTGGTCTGTCCGGGGATGACTGCCTAGTTTATGAAAAGATTAAAAGTGCCGTCCTCCTAGCCGATGAGCTTGTACCTGAGGCCTATAGGCAGCATTTTCGAGGTTTGGAGTTGGCACAGGGTCAGTCCTACCTTGACTTTGCTCAGGAGAAGGCAAAGCTTTTTGGTAGGTGGTGCTCTGCAAGCCAGGTTAACAGTTTGGGGTCGTTACGTGAGCTCATGTTTGTGGAGGATTTTAAAAACTCTGTTCCTGAGTGTATTGCTCTTTCTTTAAGTGAACAAAGGGTTTCCACATTACAGCAGGCTGCCACACTGGCAGATGAGTTCACCCCAAGTCATAAAATAAATGCTGTAGAATGTGATACCCCTCTGTGCCATAGTACATCTTGGAGAGGTAAGAGTGGGCCAGCTAACCAGGCTGGAAAAGTTGTGGTTTCGAGACCCGAAACAAAGCTTTGTTTCTTCTGCCACAAACCTGGACACCTCGTTGCTAACTGTTTGAAGTTGAAACTCAAACAGAAAGCCCACTCAAAGCAAAAAGGGCCTGCTTTGAGAAAAGTTAGTCGTGGTTCTCCGGTCCTCAAAATGATTTGCAGGGAGAAAGATCATGTATAAAACCACCCCTCAGACCTGCATCCCTTGCTAACAAACATGTCTGTGTTTCAGTAAAGCCTGCTAGCTGCCTCCTGGGTTCTCCACATGTGATCGTTCCAAGCCCTGGCTATCACATGGGACACTATTTTGAGGGTCTGCGGCGACCCTCAGTCCGTATTATGAACCCATTGAGATGGGGTTGGCAGCTTCCGCAGGCAATGCCTAACCGTTGCTATGGGGTTTGGTAGGTGGAAAGCCTGCAATTTGGTGATGCAACGGTTACGGACTTGATTAGTTGTTTTGGTTATCATAATTATGTGACAAACCACGGGTTTGTATTTATGGGAGGGGGTGTTACGGCCCTAGCTGGGCCTCCTCCTGAAGGTGCCTGTGTGGGCGTGTCCCACCACCTCTTCTGCCTGAGGTGCCACCTTTCCCTTCTGTGCAGCTGACTCTCGTCAGTAATTAAAGAAATTTAAGCCCAGGGAAAGGTGAGCTCTGAGCCAGAGTGCCATTAGTGTGGTTGCAGCTAGTGAGCTGAGTGTTTGGTATATTTGCAGTTAGTGAGCTGCTCTCTCTTTTTGACATAGGGTTTACTTTATTGACCAACGCCTGAGTTTTGTTTGTTTTCTTAAATGGTGATAGCGGCTTTTCCGTCTCTTTTAGTTGAGAAACTTGAATAAAACTCTTTAATTTAACCCTTTTGCCTCCTTGACTCCTTTTTCTGACCTGGACACTTTTTGTTACTTCCCCTTAACTGCCTAGACCCCTCAGGGGAACGTAACACTATATGGGTGATGATCTTTGGTTTTTGCGTTTCAGGGTTTTATTGTGACTTTTTCCTCTTTGTACATTTATTTATGTTAAGATTAATGCTTTCATTTTTAACTATTGCATAGAAAGCACCAGTTTTGCATCTGACTCTGCCGACTTGCCCCGAGAAATGATTTGATGTAATCTCAATGACTGAGACTAGTAGAACAGGCTGGTAATTTCTCTCTCTCTCTCTCTCTTGCTCTTAGGTCCTGGTGTAGCTACCTCTGAACTGGCTCCACATCCTGTCTCTTATTTATCAGCTGCCTTTGCCTTGATCGCCCCTCTCTCCATCCATTCATCATCACTTCATCCCCATCAGTAAGCCCAACAGCTGGTCCACCTGACCGTACCTGCGCCTGTCCATGGACTGGCCGTGACTCTGGAGGGAGGGGGACAGAAACAAGGAAAGAGTTGAGTCGCAGAGGAGACGACGGAAGAGAAAGCTGGATTCATTCAGATGTCACGCTTCTGAAGTGGCCCTGCTCGCTGTCCTTCACCCCCTCATCCTCCTCTTCAGCCTTCTTCAGTTATGGAGATTTAAAGGAGCAGTGAGAGACTATTGCCAAGACATTAAAGTGAAAAAAATACATATTACCCTGATATAAAATCATTTTTGAATAAAACATTTAGTCAGAAACAGGACTGTTGAGCACATGAACAACCCTCCAGAATCCAAACCAAAGGGGGCCTGAGTAGACAACGGAGAGAAAGAAAATCACACACACACAAAACCTTTTACTGACATGTCAACAACAGCCACAATGGGTGAAATGGCAAACAGCGCTGTGGAGTTTTACCCCAAAGGGACACGAGGTGGGGGTGGAGGAGGAGGAAGGGCAGATGGCAGCCATGCAGGGGGAGACTTTGGGGTCACAGTGAAGGAGCTCAGGGAGCTGATGGAGCTCCGAGGGGCTGATGCCCTACAGAAGATAGAGGACAGCTATGGAGACACAGAGGGTCTCTGCCGGCGACTACAGTCCAATACCACTGATGGTGAGCAGACATGGGTGTAGAAATGGTTCAGTGGGAAGAATTGATAACAAAAGAAGACGTGCCTAGATGGATGAATGGGCTGGTGGAGGAATGGTACAGTGGATGAGTAGGTGGTTGCTGGTTGGATGAATTTATAGAGCAGAAGATGGAGGATGAATGAGATTGTACTCTTGATTGGAGTCAAACACAGGCACCAGTGCATCAGTGGGGATCAGTGTTGGGCAAGTTACGTTGAAAAAGTAATTAATTATAGTTACTAGTTACTTCTTCAAAAAAGTCACTGAGTTAGTAACTGAGTTACAAGATTCTAAAAGTAATTAATTACTTTAAAAGTAACTACCGCATTATAAAAAAAAGTTTAACCCTCTGGGGTCCAGGGTATAATTGGCCATTTTAACCACTTTTGATTTTACCTCTACATTTCTCCTTTAAAAACGATTTACTTTGCCTTGTTTGGTATCATCTGTTTCAGCACAACCTCGCGTGTCTGAATTTACAGTTATGTTTTCATTTTGACATACTGTATTAACACAATTGATCTAAAATCAGACAAAAAACATAAAATCCAAGTAGAAACAACCACAAATATGTTTAATGAATCATATTTCAGAACTTTAAATGTAAATATAAATTGTCAATTTTAAAATCATATGCACAAGTTTTGCAAACAACAAAGTTATTAGCAGCCATTTACCTTTTACCCCATTTTTTAATAACCATTTCAAACTATTTACATAACAATCAGCTGTTCTGCATTCAATAGGATGCTACCTAAATTATTTGTGCCACTCCCAAAAAAAAATTTCTGTCCACTATAAAGGAGAACATCACAACCTGATACCTGCAGGTCTGACAGCAGCAGGTGTGTCACTCATCCTGTTTTTTATCTGGAGACAGCAGTCGCCTCATTGTTCTGACACACAACACAAAACTATCCACAACACTACACGCTAACTACACAAGACAACACATTAACTACACACTCCAAACACGCTAAACGTCACAAATCTCTCACATCTCAAAACTCTCTCTCTCTCTCTTTTTCTGCTGTCTTTCTTTCTCTCTCTCTCGTGGTCACTCCTCAATCTTCCCCCTCTTCCTAAACAACCAAATGTCATGTTTCCATATTATTTTTTTATTGGTTGACATGGTGTATTTTTCCACGAAAGGGCTGTTTTTGTTTTTTTTTTGTTTTTTTGGGGCATATGCAGCGAGTGCTTGCTAGTGATGTCCTTAAACAGTAAACATGACGAAATTATTCAGGAAAAAAACACTCGTATATATTGTTTATCATGACTCTAGTTTTACGTGGCCTATCAACACAATTTAAAAACTGGTATATATCACCTTGTTGCTTTGTCATCTTGAACGGGTCATGTGATTGGCTTACCACGACTACTTTATTCTTCCTCAGTCAAGCAGCAGCACTCATGCGATTGTTTTGCCCCCCTGAGCTCCAGGTGTGGTGCAAAAAAGTGATCGTCGGGCAGAAAGTGATTGCCATCCGCGGGACCGCGCGCAGCTGTTTAAAGCTGTAGCGCCCAGATTACTTACATGGACAGCTACTTCCATGCAACTGATATAAGGTGCGGTAAGCTGAAGACAGTTTCAACCGTCTGTTTGTTGAAAAATAGTAACGCGACCGCACCGCATTTTCTTGTTAGTAACGGTAACGCCGTTGTAATGCCATCACTGGTGGGGATTCTGTCTCATCATCATTTGGCATCATTTGGCCAACAGAAACAGATTAGGTGTGGTCACCAGTCATTTTAGAACAAAGCCACCTTTTATTTTAACAAGCTACGAACATACACTAAAACTGCTAATGATGTTTATTGTTGTGCGCAATATCAATACACAAATGAGTGCAACACATGTTAGATGAATTCTGAATTAAGTGCTGGTGCCTCCATTTTCCTGTAGTTGTAATCCTGACCTTGGAAGGCAGCTTCTGGTTGAGGTGCGTGTAAAGAGAATATGGGCGGATGGTCTGATTGGTGAAGGGATGATGGGATTATATTGGATGGGTGAATGGGAAGCTGATAGAGTAAATCAATAAATGGATGAACTACAATCTCTTAACAGTATACCTGCAAGGGTGGTTTAGGTGAAAGTCTATTATGTTTGTCTAACAACTGTTAACAGTCAAGGAGGCAAAAGGAAAAATAATCATTTTCATAGGCTGCCAGTTACCAGGACATGCTAATAAAATAAACCTTTAATAAATCATTTTCAAAGTTATTATGATGCCCAAATGTTGTCTCGCAGGTGTTGAAGCTGTTCAGCTATACCTGTGTTTGCTTAGTGTTTTTCCTGTCTTATTCACATCAGTGAAGTTAGCCTTAATATACCTCTCTGTATTACTCATTTTGATGGTTTGTGCAAATACTGAACATCACAACATTCATGAAGTTAGGGTTGATTGCAGGACGGTTATAAACCCTCACTCACTAAAGTAATACATTCAGGCCATCAAGATAAGAAGTACTTTAACTTATATCTGTTCTTATATTGTTGTTGTTGTTGTTGTTGTTGTTATTATTATTATTATTATTATTATTTACAGATTTTCCATTTTAGTTCAAGAGGCTTAACAAAAGTATTAACTGTTTAGCCTGTTTACTGTTATTTTTGAGAACCCAATAGATTGACAGGTTTATTTTGGTTTTTCAGCATAATAAAGGCCTCCTTTTAGATCTCTTTGGACTTCCTTTTGAGAGTTTAATTAAACAGCTAATGCAAGTACAACACTTCTTTTATCTGCTTAATGTGTCATTGAGTCTCAGGGTTCTGGCCTCACCTGGCCACGGATGTGCTTGTCATTTCTTTTGAGCCTTTCAAACAAAGGTGTAGATTTGGTTTTGGCATTGGTGGGGACGGATGATTCAACCACCGAACCCTGCCCTGATTCTTTTTTTTTCTTCCTTTTTGTTTTTGCTTCTTGATAAAAAAGGAGAAATATACTTGCTTACATATGTTATTCTACATGCTTTTAAACCATTTAAAATTTAAATTCATAGTTTTATATGTGAATTATATAATGTTAAATTACTATTAAACAAATGACTAAGTATTTTAGGCTTTAGTTTACTTCAGCCATATTCCAGACAAATCAAGTATCATACAAAAATAAAAATAGAGTCATGACAATAAAAGAATATGACTTTAAGGACTTAACAACATTACTTCAGTTATAGTACACCAACATCTCTTATACATTAGCACTAAGGGAACACTGAATGACCTGGTGGTTTTTGTCCATAAAACTACTCATCTAAGATTACCACAAAGTAACAGATCTCTCAGCAAAATTACGGTATGCAACATTTTAGACACACCATGCTGATGAGTCACACATCTGTAATGTTTGTAGGGTGAGTGCATTTTTAAAACAATTTGTGCAAACTGCACTACAAGGTGGAATATTTGCAAAATCATAACTACCTCATGATATTTTGTCTCAAAAATTAACCCTATGAATACGTCAGTGCCATTAGGATGAAATTATTGTGTCACCAACATTTTAACGTTAGACATATAATGTTAACAGCCTCTGTAAACGAATATCCTGGCTCGCTCGAGGCTGCCGTTTTCTCTGACAGTTTCAATCAAAATTAGAAATGCTACTCTGGGAGACTGAAATAACTAATAGTGATGCCTGTTGTGTAGTTAGTTTCCAAAACATGTTATTCGTGGTTACATACAATTTTAGACTGATGTGGGCCATAGCCTAGCATAGCCTGTAACGTTATTATGACAGACACATTTTATGAGTGAACTTAACTTTAAGTGACTTACAGGTTTCTTTGAAACACTCTCTTATATCCAGCTTCTTCCTTGTTGCTGCCATCCTCCTCTCCTCCTTGCAGGTCCTGGCAGCGCAGGCTTGCAGCTGATAAAACTAAACAGAGCTCCCTGAAAGGCACAGCCAATCACATTGGCCATATTTGTCACATGAGGTAGGACTCCAGTAGAGAATGTAATTTAACTCTTTCTGCACCGTCAGGTGAACGAGACGTTGACAGATCGTTTTTCTTTTTTTCTATAGGTTTTGTTTTTCTTTACTCGAAGAGATCAAATTATTGGTGGGGACGATTCAGTAATCGCTGGATATTGGTGGGGACGTGTCCCTTCCGTCCATGCCAAATCTACGCCCTTGCTTTCAAATTTGACAAATGTTTTATGTTTTTTTGTCTTTGAATTCGTTTGCTTTTTTTAACTGCCCATTTTTCAAGTTTGCAGGTCTTTCACACCTGCTAGGCTTACAGCTTGTTTTTGCATGTTTAAAGTAGTTTTGAATGAACTGCAAAGTGCATTGACACAAATGAAAAGCACCAACAGTGTTTTCCTTTCTCTCTTTTGTCAACTCAGTTAGCCATTGTCTTTCTTAGATGTGAAGAGCTGCACACTAAAAACTCTCAAACTGAGATAAGTAGAGGCTGAAATTGGGACAAATTTATTTCGATTTTTTAGTGATTTTTTCTGCATTCTATATTAGGTTTTAAACTGCTAATTTACAAAGAGGTGTTTAATGAGTCTGTTGCTTATCATAAAAAAACGACTAATGAGAACAGTGATAAATTAGGCTTATTAATTTATTTGTGGTATGATTTCAGTATTTGGTATCAGCAGATACCTGAAGCCAAAGTGCCAATATCATCAGTACAGAACTGGAAAAAGTTGGATTGGTGTATATTGGAGATTAGTTATCGCTAATGTTTGATTATTTGTGGACTTAAACAATGAATAAATAGGATGTTTTGAAATAACTTAAAACTATTTTTTAAAGGAACAATGAGTTTGGGTAATAAACTATTTGATAATTAGACTGTGATAAAGCTACGCAGCAGAGTGGAGTCCAACAATGGTAGGAAGTAGGACAGGACCTCCTGGGGCCTAGATACTAGTGACTGGAGAGATGATGAGGTGTAGATGGGGAGGCAGGTGGCATGAATGAGAGTCTGAAAGGTAGAATGACAGAGGAGCACAGAATTAAGGCA